ATGGCACCCTGGAGGGAAACATGGCATGTCTTGGCATGAGCCCCCACCCTGATTGGCCTGCGGGCACGACCCTGACGCCAACGCCTTGGAGGCGGAGGATGGACGAGGGAGAAAGGAGGGAGGAGGGAAGAGGGAGGAGGGAGGAGAGAGAGGCGAGGACGGAAGAGGGAGAGGAGGAAGGAGGGAAGAGGAGGAGAAGGAGGAGGAAGAAAGACGGGGGATCAGGAGAGAGGAGTCCGCCAGACCCTCTGCGGGGACACAAAGTACCGCGGGCGAAGCAACTACCCTCTGCCACCCAGTCCCAAGCCCCACCCCGAGCCCGCTGGCCAGTCGATTCCTCTAACGGAATGCGTCAGTTAATATTACAAGTACCCCCTCACCGTCCTCCTATGTCTCCGCCCCGTCTTCACCGTCCTTCCACTGACCATTGTCCTGCCCCGACTCCCTCCTTTCCCGCCTCCCGCCCATCATCCTCCGCACCCTCCTGCTCCTCACCTCTCATGTTTCACAGCACTCACGTCATCCTTCTCCTGACCCTCCCACTCTTCCCCCTCCAACCAATTTTCCTCTTCCGCATCCCGCTCTTTCGTATGCTAGTGGCCAACATCCGCATCCTCCTCATCATTCTCCTCTTCCTGCTCACCCCCTTCTGCCGCGTGATATTACACCCGAGCGCCGCCAAAATCACCTTCACCTCAACCTCCCCATACCCATCCTCCTCCTTCAGCTACTCCTCCTCCCTCCTCCGCGTGCTCTTCCTTCTCATTCAACTGCTCGACCTCTTTATCCTACTGCTGACTGCCTGCGCCCAAGTTTCCCCCTGCTCGTTCTCGCCCTCCCCATCCTCCTTCGCATATTGCTCCTCCTCTTGCTGCTCCACCGCTTCCTCCACGTCCTTCCCCCTGTCCCTCCACGTCGTCTTCCTCGTCCTCGTCGTCATCGTCTTCAGGGTCGGCGGCACCGGCCGTACGGCCTTCACGATCCTTTTATATTCCGCCACAAGGGGAGCCCTGTTGTATTCGACCACAAAAAGATTCCCTTCGCATCTGGCCACACAAGGAATCCTTTGGCAATCCACCACAGAGGGATTCCTCGTGTAGTCTGCCACAAAAGGAATCCCTCTAAAATCCAGCAAAAAAGAAATCGCTTCGTATTCTGCAGCCAAAAGGAATCCTTCAGTATTCTGTCACAAAGGGAGTACTTGCGTACTCCGCCACAATGAGAGCTGTCTTGTGTTCGGCCACACAAGGATTCTTTTTGCATTCCACAACCTAAAGAATCCTTTAGAAACCAACCGCAGAAGGATTCCTCTTGTACTCTGCCACGAATGGAACCTTTCTTTAGTAATTGACCACAGCAAGGAATCCCTTAGTATTCCGCTACAGAGAAAATCGGCTTGCATTCTGCCACAGAGAAAATCCTTGATGCATTCCGCCACAAGGGGAACCCTTCTGTACTCGGCCACAGAAGGAGTCCTTTCGCAATCCGACACAAAACAAATCCTTTTGTAGTCCGCCAAACGAGGGTTGCCCGTGTACTTCGCCACAAGAGCAATGCTTTCGCATCTTGCCACAATGAGAATCCTTCTGTATTTCGCCACATCGGGAATCCTTGTGCATTCCGCCGCAAAGAATCCGTGTGTATTCCGAACTCAGCATTCCGCCGTCAAAGTGATTGGCGCATTACACAGATATCCCCGTTGTGGTGGCATACAAAAGGATTCAATTGAGTGGACTGGAAAAAGTTTCTTGCTTAGTCGCATACACGTAGGTTCCCTGCGTGGCGGATTGCAAAGAGACATCGTTCGTTGCGTCGTTGGAGGAAAAAAACGCTCAAGCAGCCCAGGCCTGTATCGTGCCTGGCGCCCCTCCCCCCCCTCCTCCTCCTCTTCCTCATCCTCCTCATGGGCATAATCATCATGATCGTCATCATCATCGTCATCATCAGCATCGTCGTCGTCATCATCGACATCGCATCATCATCATTACCATCATCATTATCAACATCGTCATCATCCTCAACATCATCAGCAACATCAGCATCATCACCACCATCAACATCGCCGTCAACATCACCAGAATCATCGTTACCATCACCATCATCGTCATCATCCTCATCCTCATCATCGAAATCAGCATCGTCATCACCATCACCATCACCATCACCATCATCATCATCATATCCAGTATCGTTATCAGCATCAGCATCATCAGCATCATTATCGGCGTCAGCATCGTCATCATCATCAGCATCAGCGACAGCATCGACATAACCATCATCGCCATCATCATCAGCAGCAGCATCCTCATCATCAACATCAGCATCAGCATCAGCATCAGCATCAGCATCAGCATCATCATCATCATCATCAGCATCAGCATCATCATCATCATCATCATCATCATCATCATCATCATCATCAGCATCGCCATCATCATCATCATCATCATCGTCCTCATCATCCTTATCATCCCGACTCCTCTTCTCCTGCATTCCTTTTCCTTATGAATAAATTCTCCCTGTCGCACCCCGAGGCCGGTCGAAAGAGCGGGCCGGGCGTTTCGCCTGAGACTTCCCCACCATTTATGACCCTGAAGCTTAAAAATTGACAACAGCTTCACAGATTGAGGGCGGGTGGTGTTCAAAATGTGGATCTCCCCTTAGCGCCGCGCACATTCGCTTCACAAAAAGTGCAAGAGCTCCACGGATTGAGGGCGCTTCGTTTTCAAAAGGTGGCTCTCGCCTAAGCGCCGCGCACATTCGCTTTAAACATGTGCAAGAGTTTCACGGATTGATGGCGGTTGGTTTTCAACATGTGGCTCTGGCCGTAGTGTCGCGCACATTCCGCTGTGTTTTTTGTTTTTTACAACAAAAAAACAAGTTTGACTGGTTCCCATGGTCAGCGTACCAGAAATGGTACTTGGGAAAGGTTCATGATTATGAGGGTACCACAGTTACTTTGATTCGCTGTGTTGAAGTCCCAAGAATGCAGTTATGGCACGATTCACGACTGCCAAGACACAACATTCAAGTTGATCCGTGGCGTTGGAGTCCCGAGAACAGTGTTTCGGCATGCTTCAGGGTCTTCAAACGGCTGACTTCCAACGAGGCAGTTTCCTCAGTTGGCATGAAACCTTGTAGGGGCCTGTACAGAGGGAGCTTGGAGAGAGGCTTTATTCCAACATCGCTGATGACTATTGGTTTACACTTGACTTCCTCCTCCTCCTCCTCATCCTCAGCCTCCTCCTCCTCCCCCTCTCCATACGCTCCCTCCACCTCTCTCACTCAACATCCTCCCTCCTCCCTTTCCTTTTTCCTGACCTATCCCTCCCCTTCTCCCCCTCCTCCTCCTCCTCCTCCTCCTCCTCCTCCTCCTCCTCCTCCTCCTTCTCCTCCTCCTCCTCCTCCTCCTCCTCCCCCTCTGCTCATCCCCATCCTCCCAAACAAATACGCCGACCCTGTCGGCGTGTGCGAGGGGCTTCTCCGTCGTCTCCTCGTCGTCTTCGTCGTCACCACAGTCGTCTCCTCGCTGTATCCGTCGTCCCCCGTCCCTTTCCCTGGGCCCTCCTCATGCGTGCCATCCAAAGCGAAATTGTTCAACTTCGCATTGGAGTCGAAGGGAAGCCCCTTCCCTTTGATCCCTTCCCAGCGGGGGGGGGAAGGGTCTCGGGAGGTGGTCCCGGGGGGGGGGATCCAGGGGGGGGGGGGGGGGGGCGCCACCCAGATTCGTTTTCCCCCGGGCGGCCCCGACATGAACCCAGAATGCTGAAGATGGCTCCCAAGATTGCCCACAAGAGCCCCGTGTCGCTCAAAGATCGGCCCAACACGGCCAAGATGGCCCCAAGACGATCCAAGAAGCCTCCTAGATGTCCCAGGAGCTCGCCAAGAAAACCCTCACCAAGGCTCCAAGAGGCTCCTCCCCTCCTCCTCATCTCCCTCCTCCTCCTCCTCGACCTCCTCCTCCTGCTCCGTCTCTCCGTCGCCGTCCTGCTCCTGATGCTCCTCGTTCTCATCCTCCTCCTCCTTCTCGTCGTCTCCGTCGTCGTCACAATTGTCTCCTCGCCGTCTCCGTCGTCCCCGTCCCCATTCCTTGGCCTGTCGTCTTAACCGCGCGACCTACGGCGAAATTGAACAACGTCGCTAGTGCAGTCGATTGGACGCCCCTTCCCTGCACTTCTTTCCCCACGAGGAGAAAAGTCCCAGGGAGGGTTCCCGGGGTGGGTCTCAGGGGAAACGCCGCCCAGATACGTTTCTCCCTCGAACCCTCCGAAACCATGCAAAGGTGTTCCCAAAAGAGCCAAGAAAGCCACAGCGCCTCCTCCTCCTCCTCCTCCTCCTCCTCGTTCTCCTCTTCCTCCTGCCCCCCCCTGCTCCCCCTTTTCCTGCTATCCTCTGCCTCCTCCTCCCCCATCCTGCTCCTCCTCCTCCTCATCTTTCCCCCCCCTTCTCCTCCCTCATCCACCTCCTGCACCCCTTCCTCCTCCTCCTGCCACTCCTCCTCATCCCCCTCATCCTCCTCCTCCTCCCCCCCCTGCACTGCCCCCTCCCTCCCTTTCATCGTCGTCGTCTTCAGGGTCGGCGGCACCGGCCGTAAGGCCTTCGCAATATGAAAATGTCCAAACCACCCACGCCTTCTCAGAATGTCGTTATTCGTGCGCCATCCCAGCCTGACTGCGGCAAGGAATTGCGGGGCCGCATGGAATGAGCGAGTGCGCTCTTCACAAGAGGGCGCAGCCCTTTGAGGCCCACGCGTCCCCGAGCAAGAGAAACCCCTATCAAAACGCGTGCACTTGGCCTGCGGGGGTGGGCACATGGAGTGCTACATACACCGCACGAAGGACAATGTGTGTCAGTCCTGCCGGTGCAGATATTGCAAGGTACACAGCACGTTCCCCCCCACACTCGCCCCACCACAACCCCCTGTGTGCGCAGACAACCTCCTCCGCCTCCTCGCTGCCCCCCCCCCCCCCGCCCCCTTTTCGCGCCGAGGGCGCGGGCTCCTTGGCCGCTCCGTCCCCAAGCTCCAGGACCTTGCCGGTGCTCTCGGCGATCTGTGGCATCGGTCAGCGAGGATGAGCGCGGCGCCAGGAGCGGCGGGGGGGTCACAGGCGAGGCAGGATCGGCCTCCCTCCTGCTCCTCCCTCTCCCATCCTCCTCCCTTCCCCTCCTCCCCCTCTCCTCCTCCTCCCTTCTCCCTTCCCTCCTCCTCCTCCTCCTCCTCCTCCCCCTCTCCTCCCTCCCCCTCCTCTCCCTTCCCCTCCTCCCTCCTCCTCCTCCCTTCTCCTCCTCCCCCCGAGACGGCCACTCACCTCAAACCTCTATTCCCGAGCCTCGATCCAGCGAGGACGAGGCAACCGGCGCCGCCCCGGGCGCCGCACTCCCGAGCTAGCGATGGCCTCCGAAGGCACCGCCGAGCGAGGAGGGGACAGGATCGGTCAGCACCGAGCCGGGAAATCGGGTCGAAAGGGAATGTGCGTCGGATGGGGCTGCGTCGGCGAGGGGTCGGAATCGGATCAGATCGGCCGCGCCTGGATGCGTAACAGCACAATGCAAACGTTGGGCCGCATTGGATCGTCGTAATATCGGAATCGAACCGAATCGAGCTGATTGGAATCGATCTCGAATCGGATCGATCGGATCGAAGTGAACCCTGCGAGATCCACATGAGCCACGAGCGCGCATCCCCCACATCTGGCAAATACGCGTGCACACCAGATTCCAGGTTTCATCAGAGGGCGTGGCTTCCACCTTCGCAAGCGCCGACCTCTACGTAGGGCTGGGAGGGCCCAAGAGCACCACCCAACCTCGACAAGGGTATGCCCGCCCTCAAGGACCTCAGCGATGCACTACAATCATCCTCTTTCGCAGGAGATAGGCAGAAGTGGGAAGGAGGATCGAAGGTTTGGAGGGAGTGGGGCACATTTGAGGTCCCCCAGAGGCCTCCGTGGTCGATGTCATGTTCGCCATCCTTAGCATGATCGTCGTCGTCCTCCTCCTCCGGCTCTTCCTTCTCCTCATCCCTCCTCATCCCCATCGTCCTACTCCTCCTCCGCATCATCATCATCCTACTTAGCACCCTCCCGTCGTGGCATCTATGTGTTACACTGAACATGTCATACGAAGTGTCCTCACCGCGACGACGAAGGAGAAGAGAACGAGGAGGATTATGAGGAGGAGGAGGAGGAGGAGGAGGGGGAGGAAGAGGAGGAGGATTAGAACGGTTATGCTGAGGAAGAGGAGGGCGAGGACGAGAGGAAGGAAGACGAAGATGGCAAAAAGGAAGATGAGGATAACGAGGACAAGGAGGACGAAGAGGAGGCCGAGCAGGAACAGTCATGATCGCCATCCCCGTAGTTTGCGAGGTCTATCTACAGACACGTGCAAGATAGGTCACGTGCTCGTAAGAACAGATCCTTGAACTCACTCCGAGCTCGGCCACGATGTTGGGAAGCGAACGCGATTCGATTTCGCATGAGAAGTAGGAAGATCTGCAGCCTGCCCGCCCGCTGACTAAAGTGGCACAGCACGTCCTCCTGGCGTGCGGCCTCCCCCACCCACTGCAGGATCCTCGACGCCTTCTCGGCGATCGTGCGCATCCGCCGCTGCGCCTCGGAGACCTCCAAGGATGTCTGGAGTAGGCCTCAGCCGTTGCGCAGCCTGTCGGGCGGGTCGGCGGCTGGTCAGCCTGTCAGTCGCGGCCGCAGGCGCTCCCTCGGCCTCCCTGGCCTTCCTGGCTGCCCGCCGCAAGGCACGCCAGTTGGTCCCGCAGGCGGCGGCGGCCGCGGGCGCGGGGCATCCCTGGACCAGCAAGCGGATCGCCCAGCGCCCCCGCCGTGGCCTCCTCGGAGGGGTCGACCGCTGCGGTGCCCAGGGCCGCCGCCCGTGTCCCAAGCGCCAGAGGAGCACAGGGCTCGGCGTCAGACGGGTCGCCGCCGCCGCTGGCTCCCGCTGGCTCTGGCCTTGCGCCTGTGTCCTGCAAGTCAGCGGGCGCTGCCAGCGCGGGTGCGTCCTCTCAAGAGCCCTCTGGAGCACCCCTGACGCCGCCCCGAGAGCGCCGAGGGCGGGGCGCTCCGGAGCTGGGCCCAGGATGAGGAGGCCTCTGGGCGCGGGTATCATGCAGCAGCGCGCCGAGCCAGGCCCTCGTGGCGGCGCAAGTGCCGGGGCCTTCGGCGTCGAATTAGTACACGGCGCGGTGGTCCAAGGCGGTCTCGGAGGCCGTCGTAGCAGGTGTGGCTGTAGCCGCAAGAATATTCTCGAGCCCGGGTCCGCGATGGTGGGCGATGTGGTTGGAGCCGTCGGGATAGCCGTCATTATACCTTTGATATGACCGTTCTTATAGCCCGTGTTGCATTGGCCACTGCCAGGCTCCTTGCCTTTGCCCTGTCCTGGGATCCCACAGTACGCTTGCGTCGGGCAGCAGCGGTGACGCGTAGAGTTACCAGCTGGATTTGCTCTATTTGGGCGCAGGTGTGGGTCGAGGTCGCCCTTTTCCAACGCTGC